CAAATATGACTAACAGCATCAAGCAGAATCAACATTCCATGAGTGAGAAACAGCCCACAGACATGCTGCTTTCTAAAGGTCAGTGGTGAGACGGCGACAAAGACTCTTTTTTTAATGTAGTCTCCCAAAAGACTGGAGAGTATATGCGATTACACTCCTCTGGGTGCTGTGCTGGAAAAGGCACAAAACACCTGGCGATTTAAAGGGGGATATCATTTTAAAGTGTACTCTACACATCACTTAAGATGAAAAGTTTCTTATAAACTCAAAATAAAACACTGCACACAATTGATAAAAGTGACATATCTGTACTTTTAACAATAAAAGCTATATGTTACACCGTTTTCAGGTTTACACAACCATTTCCTCACTATAAATTGTTAACTCTTAAAAGATTTTCTCAGTACTTGGACAGCTTGATTAGGATAGTGTTCTAAATTTAGTTGCCAAATGATTTGAATTTTTACTGACTTAATGGGGACATTAAGTCAGTAAAAATTCAAATGGCAATAAAATTAAGAACACTATTCTAATCTAGTCCATATTCTGTTTTTAATTCTGCAAACCCAATAAAAGACTCCCTGAGGTATAAAAGCCTTCAAGACTCTTGAAAGTACATCATTCAAATTCCTTAGTGTAAAAAAATTATGTTTCTTTAGTTTTACAAACTTGATGCATCTTAAAACATTTAAATCATGCACAAATCTCTACATGCATTCAACTGGGTTCTAATCTCACATTCCCACACACTGTTCTACTTAAAAGTATAATACTCTGGTTAACCACCACTGGCTTGTGATCAACCAGGGTATAGTTGCAGGTATAGTGTTTCGGTCCCACTGATACAGCACCGTGTTACTTTTCTGAAGTGGCCACTGGCCACTTGCCATTAGTCTCTTTTATTACGTTACAGTTTTTCTGAATTGCTAAAACACATTTCTTGAAACCATCACTCGTTTTCTCAAAACCTTAAACACAAATCTTCCATCAAATTCAAACAATCACTGCAAAACCATTTCACTTGCACTCACAACCAAACAGTGCTCTCAGATCACACACACATAAGTCAATAAAATAAACACTACAGAGCATTCATTAGACATTACAGAGAAAAATGGAGAACACAGCATCCAGAACATTACAGAAAAAAGTATATTGTATATCTGAGTAAACAATTTTGCAATTCTGTAAAAAAGTATAGTAATTGCAACTGAGTAAGGTGAATATATTGTACAGGCCTATACTGTACGTACTGCAAAAATAGTGCTGAATATTGAATAGTACTGAATGTTTGTATATATTCAGCACTTGGATACTGCAAAAATACTGCAGTCCAACTGCAAAGGCCAAAAAGGTCAAATAATACTCTAAATGAAAAGCATGTTACAGTACACTCAAATACTGTAAGTTGTGCAATCGTAAAATCAGGGTCAAGGAGAGATTCATTCTGTCTCAGCATCATGTCTTTGTGCTCGAGTCCGGCCTGAGGACTTTGTCCACAT